ATTTGCTGTACGTCCAAATTGGACTAAACGGGATCTCGCATTCGGTCTGATCAGGTTGAGATGCTGGATCAGACCTCTCATCTGATTTTTTTTTTTTAGTATTATTTTTTTGGTTGCTCTCTACTCCAAATGTAATATCGCTCCGGCTAGGAGTTCTACATTCTCTTCTTTGAACTTTTCAGTTTGTTTCTTTCTCCGAGTTCATTTTCAATGCCCGTGGAGACTCGTAGGCAAAAGGAAGAGAGAGAGAGAGGGAGGAGAGAGAAGGAAAGTGACCGTCTTGAGTGGACAAGACCTGGGAAGTGGAGCGTTTGTCCAAGCAAGAGGGATAAAGTACTTCTTGAGAGATTCTTTTGCTGGCTTGCATCTCTCTAACCCACCGGTCGACGGTAACGGTCTTTCATCCCAAGCGAGTATTTCTGCGAGTGGCTCACAAGGAAATACATCGGGCTAGTAGAAGTTGTAGCTGCTTCTACTCAGGCCGGAGTGATAGAAGATCCCTCACCATTCCAGGAGATGGTCGAAGCTATTGACTCTTTGGTCACCCCATAAATAGACCCGGGCTAAATGATGATCTTTTTATTAGATGCGTCTGTAGCCTTAGAGGAACTTGAAAGAGAGTGGTTTCATAAAAACCCTTGAGATTCCTCTTGCTGTTGGAGAACCGGGCCAATGCCATATTGGCTTGCGTCGGTTGTAACTATGAACAATTTCTCCGAATTGGGAAGTTAAAGGACTTTATGATGCATCAAAGCATACTTCAACCACTTGAACGCTCTTTCGCAATCATCAGTCCACTACCACGGGTTGCCAAGGCATGTGAGATCCTTCAAGGGGGCTGCAATTGTGCTATGGTTCTTCACAAACAGGCGGTAATAACCCGTCATCGCTAAGAAGGACCTCACCTCAATCATAGACTCAGGCTATGGCCAGCCCCTAATACTAGTGCAATCAGACTCGACTTTGGACCTTGTTCACAACATGCGCACTTGAGAACCGATGGTAAAACTGAACTCCTTCAACTCAGAAACAACAACGAACGTGTATTAAACTCAGTCTGAACAACTGTACAACTTGCAGCTATGGTCGTCGAACACTGTCTCTACCACCAGCCTTGGTCTCCCTCACTCTCGCTTGCACGCACGTACGAGGATCACCCTGAATGTCCACACAGCACAGCCACTCACACTCTGTACACTCTGTCTACACCAACAGTTGGGCGGCTATGGTCGCCGTCGTCTTCCTCCTCCGAGCTATGGTCGTCGGTGTCTCCCTCGCTGGCTCGCTATGGCCGTTGTCTTCTTCACAGCCCACTTCTTCTCCGGGCACCTGCAGTCCTCCCCGCACAAGATACCAAGGCAACTCTTTCGCATGGCACACAGGCGAATGAATGCATGGCTGGACGCTGCCTCTTTATTTACACCTTTTCGGAGGTACCCGGGCCTGCCTCAAAACGTGTGGGCCTGGGCCAAAACGAGTGGCCCAGGGAAGCTTCCAGACGTTTGGCCTTCTGGGCCAAAACGTGTGGAACCCACCACGTAGTCCAGAACCTTCCCCACGTGCAGCCCCTACCCTTGGTACTTGCTGGATGGACTGTCCTACGGCCTTCTACACTATACAGACCTTCAGACAGATTCCAGTCCTCAACAGACTTCGTAGAGACTTCTATAACAGACTTCCTAAGCCTATCGGTAACAGACCTAGCTGCTAATCTACAGACCTAGGGATCAAGTCCTACTACCCAAACTACAAACTAATCTGGGATGTGGAACAGGTCTAGGGCTCGAATCCTACTCAGCACACAGGGTCTATGTACAGGTATAGCGTAGGTCTAGGGATCGAATCTCACTCAGCACACGGGATCAATATACAGGGTTGTGGCACAGGTCTAGGGATCGAATCTCTGTGACTGCAATGTCAGGTCAACTGGGTGAAACCGTTTCACTCCCACCATCCTAAATTCGAGGTCCTCCGAGAACACCCTAACTCAAGGCATGACCTTTGCCCTTTCTTTCCCTCTCATAGGCGTGTACTATGTCGTGAGCCGTTCCCAAAAGCTCTGTTCTTGTGAACCATCGGTCGTCCTCGGGTTCCTGGTATGCGAACCAAACTTTATACTACTTCTGGGGACAACCTCGACCTCCTGTCCTAAACACGTCCTCTTCCACTATGTGATCTATATCATATGCACCATCCATGTCTCGCGGAATCATCGATCTCCTAGAAGGGAATCTGTCAGATGTGGTGCAGGGTAACAACTTAGATGCATGGAAGATTGGGTATGTGTGGAGGTGTGTTGGAATCTCTATAGTATATGACGGGCCGTCCTCTCCTCCTTTGACTTATAGGACAGGCCACGGTCCTGTATACGCAGGTAAGAGCTTCTGCGAGATGTTCTCCTCAGGTGGGAACTCCTTTGACTTGACCCAGACTAGATCGCCTACCTGAAACTGGGAAGGTCGACGATGCTTGTTGGCTTGCTCTATCATTCGATGTTGGGCCTTTCTCAGATTGTCTATGACCTTAGCGACTTCCTGCTCATGCTGTAACGCAAACTCTCGTGTGCCGGGTGGAAGTCTGTGTTTCTGGTCTCGGTTTAGTCCCTCAAAGTCTAAAGGACTTATGTAGCTCGTTAGGAGTCGTGCAGGTAGCTAGATGAACACTGTTATTGTAAGCACTTGCTACTTTGGGAAGCATCTCATCCCAGTTTATCTGATCTGGTCTAATATACATTCTAAGTAGCTGTTGCAAGATCTTATTCATCTGCTCTGTCTGGCCATTAGTCTCTGGGTGTCGTCCTGACGACATCAACAACTTAGACCCATAGACTTTCATAAGATCCTGCCAATTCTAACTAGTAAATCGCGTGTCCCTATCACTGACTATGGACAGCGGCATACCATGCTCGCTTACCCAGAAGTCGAAAAACTTACTAATGACTAAGTTTGTACGCGACTCTGAAGGCAAGGGAACAAATATTGCATACTTGCTAAGCCTATCTACCATGACTATGACTTGAGTCTTGTCGTGCCTACTCTTGACCCCAGTATCCATGAAGTCAATGGAAACCGAATCTCCGGGTCCTGACGGAATAGGCAAGGGTCTCAGAAGACCTAGCGGACTCTGGTTGTAGTTTTATTCCGTTGACATACCTTGCAGCTGCGCACATACTCTATGCAATCTACTTTCATTCCTGGCCACGTATATGACATCATCAGGTTAGTAAAGTTTTCTGCCATCCAAAGTGCCCTTCCGTATCGTGGCATTCCCCTAAGATCAGACTACGGATCTCTTCACTATTGGGGATATATAGTCTGTCAACAACATTAGTCTTCTCAAACAGTAGCCCGTTTGTGGTCCAGTAATGTGGCTCACTATCTGGTAATCAGATCTCGTACTTAGCGCATCAGCTACCACGTTATACTTGCCTTTGACGGGTTTCAACTCAAAGTCATACCGGTCTATCTCAACAGCCCATCTAGTCAACTTGGGCGTCATCTTGGCCTGTGTCTTTAGCCATCTAAGAGTCTCGTGGTCTGAGTAAACCTTGAAGTGCCTCCTAAGCAGTAGTGTTTCCAGTGCTCTAAAGCCTGCCTGAGAGCGTAGAGTTCTCTTTCATAAGTCGATGCTGCGACTTTCTCTGAGGACAGCCTGGCTAACAAAAACTCTACGGGCCTATAACCGTTGTTGTCATCTTGCTGTAGAACGGCACCTATGCCATACTGACTCGCGTCTGTAGTAACAACGAATGGTAATGATGGATCAGCAACTTTGAGGACAGGGTACTCTATCAAAGCCTTCTTCAATTTCTTGAARGTTGACGTACAATCCTGGTCCCACTTCTAGATAGTCTCTTTCTTCAGAAGTCTATGAAGGGGAGTTGCGATCGTGGAGAAGTTCCTCACAAACTTCCTGTAGTAGTTAGTCAGTCCTAGGAATGAGCGCAACTCTGTCAGCGTCTTAGGAGTTGGCCTATCTCTAATGAATGCAATCTTGCTGTCCTCAGGCCAAATGCCATCGCCATCTAGTACATGGCCTAGGTAAAGGACCTGTGTCTTGGCCCATTCACACTTTTTCGGGTTAATCTTGAAGTTAGACTCTCTCAGCTTGCTTAGAATCTGCCGCAGATGGCCCTCATGTTCCTCGAGGGTCTTGCTGAACACTAGGATGCCGTCTAGGTACACTACAACGAACCTATCTAACCATGGTCTAAACAAGTCGTTCATGCAGCGCTGAAATATATTCAGTGCATTAGTAAGTCCAAACGGCATCACTATGAACTCGGAATGCCCATACCTTGTCCTGAACGCCGTCTGATACTGATCGTCAGGATGCACCTCTATCTGATGGTACCCCGATTTCAGGTCTATCTTTGAGAAGTACTTGCATCCCTGCACGCCATCTAACAAGTCATTTATACGTGGCAATGGCTCTGCGTTCTTAATTGTGATGGCGTTCAGCCCCCTGTAGTCTATACACATGCGAAGCTCTCCCTCCTTTGGGACAAACAAAACACGTGCGCCAAACGGTGACGAACTAGGCCTGATCCATCCTTTTTCTAGGAGCTCATCTAACTGTCTGCGAAGCTCCTCTAACTCCTTGGGAGACATCCTGTAGACTGCCCCCTTAGGCGTTCTACTGCCATAGGGAGCCTACGCTCGTGCTCTCTAAGGTGCAGTGTGGCTCCTGCTGCCTCTCCCCAATCTGTACCTAGAACAATGTCAAACGGGAGACTCTCTTCCACAAGGAGGGTCAAGGAGTGCAGTACCTTCTCTATCTTCCCATCTTTCTCTAGGCGAAAGTAGGCGTGGACCCCCCCAACATATTCTTCAACACGCATCCTGTTGTTGTCCGCAACACTGCTAATTACAAGTTCCTCTCAGCGTTGGACTTTCAAATTAAGCTTCAACTTCTTCAGCGCTCGACGACTGATATAACTCCTAGTCGCCCCACTGTCTATCAGGGCACCTACTCTAGCTCTAAAAATTTCTACATCTGCGAGGATAAGTTGTCCTTTACTATCCTTCTTCATCTTCGCCCAAGCTTGCCTCCTCTCTCTTAACTCCTCGGCTAAGCCTGTGAGGGAAACGTCTAGAGAGACTCTAACACAAGCAATCTCTGGACAGCCTACTAGATGTCGGCCTGCAACCTCTGCCATGGAGGTATGTGGAGTGGGAGACTCTACTTCGTGGGCACGCTCAGATCCACATACTCCTGGGGTAGGGGCAGTTGCAACCCCTACCGGCGGCTGTCTTTTGCTGCCCCAGACGCAGCACAGTCCCTATACTTAGGACAAAATTTGATGATATGACCTAGGTCCCTGCAGAACACGCACTGAGAACTATTGATGCGTTCTTGCCATCGGGCCGGCCTGGGTGCCACCATCCTTGTCTGGGAGGTGGTCGACTAAAACGCGGACGGTTAGATGGGGAACCTCCCCTTCCTCTCGCTTGGCGGTTGCCATTGCCGCGAACCCCCTGGCCGCCCTGTCCTCGGCCACCTGGGGCCTGACCATTCTGGTCGGACCTTTGTCCTCCTCCTTGCGGCCTCCCTCCGACCGCTACAGCGATGTAGGTTCTCCCCTGGCCTGCGCCGCTGTTCTCCTCCTCCTCTAGTCCCCACTCGATGTTAGAGTAGGGAACCTCGTCGGCACCACCTTCCTCCATTGCTAATATCAGACTATCTTTGGCCTTAATTTGGCCCAAGATGGTGCATCCCTTCTGCATTTTTCCCTTTGACAGATCTTTGTGCCAGAACGTGGTAACTGGCGATGCTTGGGCGGCAAATGCAACTGCCTCCCGACTAAGAGTGACGTAAGTCATGACCTGCTGGTTCTTCTTCTCGAAGAAATGTCCCTGAATGTTCTCAGGGAGGGCGCGACAGAAGAGGTTAAGAAGTTGGGCATCGGTTACTCCATGCCCAGGGACCGCAATCAGTTCGTCCATGGCGGACTTGAGGGCGTGCACACTCTTCCACTGGCGAGTGTGTATCATTTGGAGTTTGTCGGAGGCTTTGAGCCCCCGCGTCACATCTGAGAATCGCTCCCTGAGCGATTTCAGGAACTCAGAGAGAGGTGTCAGTCTCGAATACGTCACCATATCGTTATCACAGTTCGTAGCGCGGGCTAGCGACCTAGCAAAGCTAGTCGCCTCGTCTCGAATGGCCTGGAAGGCCACCAAAACATGGTCCTCAGGCGTGACTCCCTGTAAGTTCAAGTAGGAGTGCACGTTGGCCTCCCAGTTATTGAAATCCTCACCCTTCTTTCCACTGAAGGGTTCGGGAAAACGGACCTTGACTTTCTCACGGCGTGGTGGGGCCGGCTCCTCTTCCTTAGGAGTCGCTAACTTGGCGCCTTCAATGGCGCCAGTACAAAACTCTCGGGTCTTACTAATTGCATTGTGGACTTCGACCAATAAGTATTTCATCATGTCACTCGCGAAAATTTTGAACCCGACGCACATTGCATCTACCTTTACTTCTAAACTTTGAATATATTGCGCTTGTTCGTGGTGTGCAATTAGTAAAGATTGTACGCTCTGAGTCAGGGTATTGAGCTTAGTAGCTATCTCCGTCTCTTCCCTGATTTTTCCCATCCTAGTCTCCTCCGCTTTCAGATCCTTGTCTGCCTTTTCCGCCGCTTCCAATCGTCTTACCCTCTCTTGGGAAAGCCTGTATCTCCATGCCATTTGTTGTTCTTCCTCCTTCGCCTTTCTTCTCACCGGGTCCGTTTCTGTCTCAATCTGCCTCCTTGCTGCTTCTCTCTCTTCCTGGGGGATGGCCATCTCGGCCTCCCTATCTTCCCCCAATTCCAAATGTGCTGCCCACTCTTGTGACCATGGGACACTTCCGTAGGCTCACACATAGTACAATAACCATTTATATAGAATTTAGCGGTTGTTAATATCAGCCATGGGCCTAGCACTATTGGTTACGACATTCGACTTTCAGCTCGGAAGGATGAGGATCAAAGCCAACAACCGACAACAAGGAAAGCGGTGGAGCAGTTTGAAGGAACCAAGGGGTTGAGGCTTAGGCGGGGCTATTCCCCTTTGGTTTTGTTGTTGGCCCCGACAACGGACCCGATTGGCAGGGCAAACGAAGTCCGCGGCGGTCCCTTCCCCTTTCCTTTTCTCAATTTTTGCTATAATTATTTATTTTTATTGTTTTATTTTATGTTCATTTTTATTCCTTGGTCCCATTTCTTGGGGCACGGTAGCGGTTCCGATCTTGGAATCGGTATTTATGCTCGCACCAACGGGCCTAGCTCAATTGGTACACTCCTAAACTGTTGAAGTGCAGACCTGTGTTCAAACTCCGCTGAACGCAAGTGAGTAAACTACTGCAATTTTGGATTTGCCTGGGTCCGGTCAGCCCATGATATCTGGTAGCCGCAGCCACAAGCTCAGTCCTTCGGGACATTCGTTAAAATTGGAATCATACAGGGGAGACTGGAGTGGTCCCAATGATTGTCCTTCCCCCTTAATAGTGCCATTCTACAGGCAGGTATACAGCCAGCAGGGTTAACCTTCGCCCGCTCGCTAGGCCAGCTCACGAGGCTATAAGTTGTCGCGGATTGGTTGCGGGTAGGTTGCTTTGAAGAATCGGGAGAACGGGCCCGTCAAGCTGCTGGAGAACCGAGAAGAGTAAGAAGAAAAGCATGACGAGGGAATACGACAAAGAAGGAAGTTCGAGGAGAAGTAGAAGAAGGCAAAGAGGGGGAAGTCAGGGGTAAAAGTTGAGTTACTCGGTTGTCTCTTGGCCGTGTTTTGCAAACTAAGATTCTAAATGGGGGTTTCAGATTATTCCGAACTAATTGGCCCTGTCAAATTTTGATCGGGCAGTGGGTTGTTCAGATCAAGCTATAGAGGCTGCCCGATCGTCATAAGAGAGTTTGAATATGATGATGTATCCTGTGTTCTAGGGAAAGATTCATCCTCCATATTGTGCATTTGGTGAGTACTAGAGTGTGGTCCGTAGCAGTGCATGTCGACTTCCTCGTGACTCTCTTTGAGTGTATCTCCGTACTCATCATCGAAGTGCTGCCTCTCATGCTCGTAATCTACATGCTGCGTGTCATGTCCACGATCTACGTTTACGCAAGATTCTTCCATTGCCAGTGAGGAGGGGCTTGTCTAACAGTCTCGATCTCGGTGCTATTAGTAGTAAACACATAGTGTTGCTCAGTGTGCTCGAGGCGCCAGGCGCTGCATCGGCATAATGACAAGAAACGTATCCACTTGACTCCTTACGACAAATTCATTCTCATTTTGCACCCTCGGTGATTTTGTGGAGTGATGCCCATAGGCATACGCTTCACCACCGTGATTGTTGAATTCTTTTGTGACGTTGGGAACACAATGCTGCTTATCAATCTCACTATTGCTCCTACTTGCACATAGTTGTGCTTCACCGCCCCGGTCTCTGGACTCTGGTGGTGGTTCTGATCCCGACTTTTCTTTTCCATGGTCGTCATGGCCATCGAGCATCACATCTAGCCTTGATCTAGAGGTGGGTTCATTTTCGTTGAGCACGTTCGATGAGTGCACGAGCAGACCACAGGTTCTTGTGCTCTTTATCAAGGCCACGCTGCTCGTCGTAACGGTCGCGATCCTAACCGGATGCTTGACTTCCCGCTCATAGTCGGGTTGTTTTTGTCATCACTCCTACCATAGCTGGAGGATGTTCATGGTTATTATTACGACGGTACTCAGCTCGCCCGCATCATTGGAGGCTGCAGAAACTATCTTCCATGGTCTAAACCATTTGGGGAGGCGCTTGCGAGAGACATCCTGCTCAAGCGCGAATTCCTTCACGAGGACCCAGACAAGGTCACCCTTACGGAAAGGACATGGGAGACGACGTCGGTTAGCTTGCTGTTACATGCGGACCTGAGCCTTTTTCATGTTTGCTCGGGCTTTGATCAGCAAGTCCCTGTACTTCTGAATGGAAGCGGGAGAGCAAACGACATCGATGTTGGCGGCCCGGGGAAGAAGAAGATGAGCGAAGATACGTCCTTTCCGTCCACCGTGATGCAACTCGTATGGAGTCACATAGATCACCGGGTGCACCGAAGTGTTGTGGGCGAAATCGATATCTGGAGGGCTATCAACCTAATCTTTTTGGTCCGGATAGATGAGAGTACGGAGCATCATCTAGGCGGTCTGATGCGCCTGCTCCGTCTGTCCATCCGTCTGTGGGTGCCGAGTGAAACTCGGCTTCATTGTCGTGTCGGACTCAACCATGAGGGATGTCCAAAATGTCGACATGAAGCGAGTATCACGATCGCTCACGATGTCTTCCGGAACACCATGGCTGCAAATCCAGCCGGTGTGCAAGAGTCGTGCGAGCTTGGGCGCTGCAGCATGATACTTGCAAGGAAGAAATCTGGCGTACTTGCTCAAACGGTCAACAACTGTGAGAATGCCATCATGACCAAGGCGATCGCGGGGAAACGGGCCGGTGACATCCATAGCAATGGATAGGCACGGTTCTTGCAGAATTGACATTGGTTTGAGTTCGCAATACGGAAGCTGATGCCATCCTTTGTTCTGCTGGCAAACTGCACATGACTGCACATATTTGTTGACGTCGTGAAGGACATCTTCCCAGTGAAAACGCTGGCGAAGACGTGCCGCCAGGGTGTGCCGAGAGTCGCGAGTCGTGGAATTCGCCAAGAAGGCGAGTATGCAAGATGCGATCGCGTGACACTCATAACAAGTCCTTCCCTAGCAGGTGGAGAAGCAAATACCCGTCGGAGATGCGATAATGCCCTGCCGGCAGGTGATCTGATGAAAGATTTGCATAAAGTGTTGAGTACTTCGGGTCGGACTTGCAACCATTGACGGAGTGCTGCTGCAAATTGTCGTCGAGCCGAAATGTATCGGGCACTAAGGCACACAAATCGTGTCGCCGTGATAGTGCATCCGCTGCCCGATTGGCGGGGCCTGGAATATGGACGGGGTCGAAGTCGAATTGGTCGATGAAATACATCCATCGGCCGATCGTGCTTGTGACCATGTCCTGCATTTTATAGTAGGTCAACGGATTGTTGTCCGTATTCCATGTGAAACGCCGACGCCCGAGAAGAAAGTGTCACCATCGTTTGAGAACGGTGACGAAAGCCAGCAGCTCTTTCTTCCGAGCATCATCCAGAGAATGGACGAGGGACACTTTTTGGGAGAAGTACTCGACCGGGTGCCAATCATCACCGTCATGCTGTTCCAATATCGCACCAATGCCGTATCCGGAAGCGTCCGTAGTCACTCGGGTACGTAAGGTGGGATCATAAATGCGGAGGGTGGGAGCGCTTAGCATCGCGTCCTTCAATGCTTGAAATGCAGTCCAGGCTGCGTCGTCGAATAGAATGGTACCTTCGGAGACTGAAGCCTCGACAATGGTGCCGCAACTTTGGAGTAAGAGCCGACAAAACGCTGGTAATATCCAGCCAGACCCATGAACGACCGCACATCCATAGTAGTACGGGGTTCCAGCCAATCCACGATGATTTGGATCTTGCCCGCTAAGGGACGAATGCCTTGCGGCGTAACATAATGTCCCAAGTACTCAAGCTCTTGGTGTGTGAATTCACACTTATCGCGATCCGCTTTGTACTTGGCCGTGCGAAGCCTTTCGAGAACAACGCGAAGGTGCTCGAGATGCTCGTCGAACGCCCGACTATAAACCAAGATGTCATCGAGGTAAATGAGTACGGTGCGGTCGAGTAGGTCTCGAAACTCGGTCGTCATGGCTGCTTGGAAAGTCATCGGGGCATTGGTGAGGCCGATTGGCATTACGACCCACTCAAAATGCCCATACCACGTTTTTGAAGGCGGTCTTGTACCGATATTGGGGCTGGATTTCAATCTGGTGGTAACCAGACTTCAAGTCCAACTTTGAGAAGTATGTGGTGCCGACAAATCTCTCAAGGAGATCATCAATCCGAGGGAGAGGGCCGGCGTTCTTCACGGTTTGCACGTTGAGTTTTCAATAATCTATGCACAACCGGAGATCCTTGTTCTTCTTCCGGACGAAGAGAACCAGGGCACCGTAGGGCGAACAACTCGGACGAATCCAGCCCTTGTCTAAGAGGTCATCAAGTTGTGAGCAGAGCACCTCGAGTTCCTCTTCGCTCATTCGGTAAATACATCCTCGCAGAGGGACGACACCATCCTTGAGAGTAATCCCGTGACATATCCGGGGACCATTCTGGGGGGGGGTTGCAAAGACGTCTCCATAATCGTCTAAGAGTTGAATAATACGTGGGTCCGACGGCTATGTCTTCGGTCCGTTCGTCGGAGGGATCGCATGCAAGAAGCACATTCCTATATCATCGACGTCGTTCTGAGTAATAGCATCGCGAATCGTCGTTGCAGAGACCACGTGGCAACCAATCGAAGTGTGAGGGGGTGGGACCGTACACGGGACTAGCTCACCGTTCCGATCACGGATGTGAATGGTGCGGTTATGGAAGTTCACCGGGTGTTCGGCGCTACGCAACCAAGACATGCCTAGAATCATGTCGAACTTGGTGTCGAGGATGTCAAAAGACACCGGCTCGCACGCAAGAGGCGCAAAGTAAACTGGGACGCCGTCAATGCATCGGTCAATTGACTTTTGCGTGTGTCCATCCGCGAGTGTTACATGTGTTGGCTGTGTTTCCCTTCGGACGCGGGGGCCGAGGCCAGCGCGGGCCATAAAGGCTTGGCTCATATAGTTGTGAGACGCTCCACAATCAATCAAGGCACTGCAGGTTGTCTTTCCGATTTGAATGCGGATATAAAGGAGGGGTGCGTCCGTTTCGACTTACCTTTGAGAGGTGTGCTCGAGGTCGATCTTCGCAAGATGGGTGCGAATGTCGACAACCGGCACTCCGTCGTCCGTCAACGGAGCTGGTACTGCAACGTGCAAGTAAGCGCGTAGGTTAGCCATTAAGTCATTGCAATGCGGCTTGGGCAAGGATCTGGTCGAGGGAAGAGGCAACCATTGGAAGTCCTCTATCGTTAGCGCATCGAGATCCTCAAGTCTCGACCACGCCGACGAGTCCTCGGAATGTGTAGGCGAAAAGACCGGCTCACTTGTTGACGGTGCGCAAGCTGCGCATACGCTATCTTCCTGCACGTGACTAGGCTGGTTCAACGGTGGGACCAGCTGGACTACATAATCCTCGTAAGTAATACGAGAATCATCGACTACCACATGTTCCCCGGAGATGAAGTCGGTTGCTAGCAAGTCAACCGTTTCCGGCAGAGTGGGGAGAGCCGTCGTTGCACTCCTCGCGGTGCTGAGTTTTCCGAGCTGTTTGGACGAGGCCCACTAGGTTTGCCCTTGTCCGTGCATTGGGCGGTCGCGTGCTTGACGCTCTTGCACCAAAGACAGTAGTTGTACTTCAGGCGAAGGTGATAAACCTCCTCGCTAATGTGATATTGCGTCCACGGTTGCTCTCCAGCTCCTTCCGACACCTGGGTATTAGCCTTCTTCTTCCGAGCTCGTGTGCGTTGAGGAGGGATCGCTGCTACAACATCTCCTTCGCTAGAGGCTGCTGCAGCGGCGTGGTCTTCGTGCGATCCGGTTAGGATCGCATTTACATTGTGCCGCTGAAATCCTGGCTTTGCCACATAGGCCGCTGTTGCTGACGACTTTCATTAGCTGCTCACCGGTCCGTTTGTATGAGAATGTTTGCTCTTGATATGACTGCGTCGAAGGTCTCGTACTGCAGCTCGTTGCCGAGAGTCTTGGTCAACCCGTCACATGACCGAGAGGAGAACTCGGATCTCAAATCCTCGAGATCGAGGTTGAATTTCGGAGTGGTCACAAACTTCTGCCACTTCGTCAACCATGCTCGGGTAGGCATAGTGCCTTGGCTGCAACGGTAGAGCTCGTTCATGACCGTCTTTCTCACATTCCGGATCATGAATCGCGTCTGCCACAGCTGCTCAAACTCTTCCCAAGCAATCTTGGTGTGCAGTGTTGTGATCGTACAGGCCTTTTGCAACGCCAAATTGTTCATGAAGGCCTGGGTGCCGCCAATCAGCTGGAGGTACAGCGCGTTGAGGCGCTGATCGTTGGGGACGTGATGCACGTCGGCCTCCGTATTGAATGCTGTCCACCAAGCCAATGCGTCGATCTTGTGATAGTCGTCGAATTTGGCTACGTTGAACTTGGGCATCTTGTACGCCTTGCCGCTGTCCAGTCTTGACTTCAGCTGACCCAGCTCGGTTCTGAGTGTCGTCACTTGGTTGCTGAGCATCGTAGGCGCCTCGAACTGGCCCACCTCGTCAATCAGGCTGATGATGTGATCAATGCGCTGAGTTGTGGTGGCGGCTGTACTTTCAATCGCTGCTATACGCGGGCCCCATTGCTGGCCAGCTGCTGATGCACCAGTTGGTGCAGCTGCTGGTGCATGAGGCTGCGCTTGAACCATACTTAGGCACACGGTAAGTGAGTCATTGACTTGCCCTTGCTGTGTCTTGGCAGAATTGATCGCCGTTGCAAGTGTGTGGCAATCCTTTGTGGCAGCTTTTAGGATCTGCTGCTGCTGGAATGCTGCCTGGGCGTGATGCCGCAACTGCTCCTGCTGCCAGTTCACAGTGTGCAACAGGTGTCTGAGTAGGTAAGCCAACTCTGTTTTCTCCTGCTCTGCCGCTGTTGGAGCTGGTCGTGCGGCTGATGGCACGAAAAGTCCACGTCGTGAGGAGGTCGCTGAAACGTTGCTCCTCATTCTGCAGGACCTGTGTGCTTGCAGCACGCTGTTGCTGTTGCGCTGCTTCGGCGGCTTCTCACTGTAGCTGCGCTTGGACGGCTGCCTCGTTGGCCAACCGTTGTGCTTCGGCGGCCGCCTCATCGGTCAGCCTCTGTTGCTCAGCTGCTGCCTCTTTGACCAGTCTCTGTTGTTCGGCAGCTGCAGCGGCAATCCGCTCCTGTTCGGCAGCGGCCAATTCCACAAAGGCCTGGACGTGCTGCAAGAACACATCGGACGCCTCATCGGCGCCTTGGACCGGAAACGCTGGCAGAACCATCGTTCGCCACCTCCTTGGTACAATCGGTGTCGGGCGTGCTGCTGGCTGCTGCTGTCTGTTGAGAAGAGCTGCTATCCGAGGACTGCGTCGAGGAAGTATCACCGGTCGCTGACCTGTTGACATGAGTTTCTGCAGTGGCTGCTATCGGCAGTGTCCTTAGGCCATCAGCGGGAGAGGGGAACAGACAAACATGCAGCTCCCGAATCCCAATGTGGACTGACACACTAATCAATAGGAAAAAAATTCCCCCCAGACAATATTTTCGAAAATAATTAAAATTTATTCATTTAATTAATAAAAATAATGAAATAAATGTGCGAGGCACAAGGCCTCACTAAGCCCTACCGGGCCCCTATTTGCAACAGGTCGGCCTCCCTAAGTGACGGCAGGCTCGACAGACCACAAGAGGCCTATTTTGGACTACTTCGCAGCTGGGGTAGAAATTCAGGCAGTTGCGCAGCGCCAGTTGACTGAAGGCGCCCAGGCCCTGGCCTCCTTTAACAAATGTATCTAAGTCCAGCCCTGGGCGAGATATGCAGCATGGACCCAACTCAGACTGTGGGCAGTTGGGCACGGGTAACTGTCGGTGGCCCTGGGCCTCTCGTTTGGACTGAGGCTCAGCCTCCCTGGGCCTACCGGAAGCTTCTAGGCCGGGGCCCGGTACCGCAGCACAGCACGCAGCAGCAGGCCACTTCGATATAGGGAAGGGCCTGCCCACGCACTGGATATTCGGGCACTGGCTGCATTGTGCGCAAGCGCTGCTGCGCTATCACTGGCCAGCGCTCACGCGCTCACGGGCGAGCTGGAAGGAGCAGGCAGCCATAGCCGAGCTGCGATGCTGTGTGCTGGATGGGGCACATGGTGGTCCTTGGGTGCAAGTGGCATCTGTGAGTTGGGGAACGAGGTTGTGAGTGAGAGACATACCTGGTGCTTGACGCGTGCGGCATTGGCCGAGATCTGCTCGTACTTGGGAAGCTGTTGACGTCATCAGCGGCATTTGAAACGGTATTCACCTGTTAGCAGTAGCGGATGCAGGTCCCAGGGCTCGATCCCTAGTCCTCACTTTACCTGTGTACAGTATCAGTGTCAACCCCGAGTGTTTGAACCCGTGACTTGTGTTTTGAAAGTTGTTGTTGTCTGTCGTAGGTCTGTGTAATGGTAGGGGTTCGATCTGTAGATCTGTGAAGTAGGAGTCACAGCCCTGTAGCTGTAGGAATCCTGAAAGGTCAAGGTCGTAGCTGCTACAGTCCTGAAAGGTCAAGGTCGTAGTTGCTACAGTACTCGAAAGGCCAAGTCCACAGACTTCGGGAAGGTCCGGAAGTGGCCTTTCGAAGCTGCCTCACGTTTTAGTCAGAGGCAAGTGGGCAAGTGGTGAGCCCAGCTGCATTACGTCGGCAGTGCTACTGCACTGAGTTGGCAGTGCAAACCCATGCAGTCAGCGGTACCGGTCCAGCAGTCCCAGTCCAGTCAAGCAAGTACCATGAGGGACTGTGTGCACCATAGGCCTGGTGGAGAGGGGCAGACCAACGAGTTACAGAAGTATAAATCAAGAGGCAGCACCCAGCCATTCATGCATCTTCTGCGTAAGCCATGCGGAAGCGCTGCTACAGCGACTTGTGCGAGGTGGTCTGCAGTAGGCCCAAAGACGAAGGGGGCGAGAAAGAAGCTTAGCCATAGCGATAGGGTAGGCAGCGGCCATAGCCGCCATAGCTGATAGGAGAGAGAGTGGCGTGTGTGAGTGTGCAAATGTACAGTGGGTTGCGTGTGGGATATCCAGGGTCATCCAGAGTTGAAGTGTGAGCGAACAGTGGTGTTGGACACAGTAACGAGAGTTGGGATGTATAGGTGCTGGTGCACCATAGCCTGTTGAAGCGAGTTTGCATCCGAACTTTGTTCTTGGTTTCCATATCTCTAAGCTTTGAGTTGGGCGCTATGCGCCAGTGTGAATCACCATCTGTTTGTATGCATGCGAAGCGAAGAAGAAAGTGAGTCTGATTGCACATTGTAGTCTAGGCTAGATAGGATCTGCCATTCGTAGTCTGGGCGCCGAGCGCCAGATAGGATATCCACATTGGTTCTTCGTTGATGATGATGAGATTATTCCAGCATTGTCAATTATGAGCTTTTAGTGTGCTCTTATTTGGTGAAACTCGTGATGCAATTCTGCTATTGGTTCGAGGTCACGACTATCTGGTCTCATGTGTATGATGCTGTTTGATTTCTGAAGTTCGCTATTGCTCATCTTCCTTGCAATTTGGTATCGGAGTTGTGGTTCGGTGCGCTAATCTGGCGCTTATCTTCTGCCTAATGCGGTACATACACGCGGTGTGTGCGGTGAACGACCGTGTCGTGGGACATGTTTAGTGAGGACGCGGAGATAAGAAGGCAACCCAGGTGGAGAGGGGTATCGCCAGGAAGGCTACGTGATGAATATTGGGTGTTCGCAGTGTGATGAGAACTATCAGATGTGTGATTGATGCTGAGGTGGAACGGTGGTGCAATGCTGGTTGTGCCTAAGCAGCGATTGGTCATCACAATCAACATCGGGTCATCTGGTGCGAATATCTGTGGTTGGGGGCAGCTATTTTAAGATACGTTGCACCTAACCTTATCTACCCTCTTGGACACTTCTTACCGTGAGGATGTGTGTTCTGTCTTGAGAGTCCTCTCATGTGAGGAGCCGTGTGCGCTCAACCTTGAGAGTCGTCAGCCTTCACGTGGAGAATCTGGAAGGAGAGGGCGGTGCTATCTGAAGGGCCCTGGACAAAGCACTGGGTCACGATCACCACGCCAACCCACCGGGAGTAGAGCATGCATGCTTTGCTGCTTTGTCCTTTGTCTTCTCGCTGCGCTGTAGAGGGGTTCTGAAGGGCAGGCCAGCCCTATGGGACAAACGAGACCGGGCGTCTATAAATAAGCACCGGCGGGGTACCTTCCATTGGCTGTGATTGTCGTTCTGTTTGCGACGTTAAATAATTCCTGAGGACTTCGGGGGCCGTCCATAAAAACGCCTCCTGATCAGCCAATTGGTCGGTGTAAGGCTCACTGCACGCGAGGATAAAGACTGTGCAGGGCTGGCCAGCTCAGCAGGACTCGGGGCACAGGGGTGGGCCGTGTGCACACCTTTGGATACGTACGCTGTTCGGATTGCTCAGGGACGTTGACAACAAGAGACATTCGAGAAGAACTGAGGGAGGGGTAGATTCCAGGTGATAAGTTTGGGCAAAATTCCATTCTGCAAACAGACCCAACAAACGATTCTATTTTTATTTTTGATTAGTTAGATTTACAACCACTGACATCTGACAGACAACATAGTTTAGAACTGTTCTTTGTTCATTGTGCTTTCTGTTTGCAAACTAGTCAAAGTCAAAGTAGTTCGTTTGTAGGAATCTGAACTTACCTGTTGAACCCAAATGTATAGTCTCTGACATAGCCACCAATTAATAAGTTTATTTATTTTAAATCGGTCTGCGCATGACGCTGCGGTAGGCATCGAACGAGTGTCCTAGTGCAAACGGTGTGCAGTATTGTAGATTATGAGCGACAGCGAGGTCCCACAACCGGACGATAGGCTCCTGTGATCGACAAGATGCCCGATAGCCCACTTGGCGTTAGGACCAGAGGGCGACAAATATTTGTTCCGTCAGCGGAGGGAGAGACAGCAGTAGCAGCGGAGGGTAAGAGCCGCAGAGGCAAGCAGGGCTTTCGCAAGCGAAGCCGCCGCTTCAGCAGCCATGGCAACTGTTGCGCAGTAGAGTTCCCAGCCCGGCAGTTCAGAATCTGTAGGGTCAACGGTTGCGCAGACCCTGAGTCAGTCAACTGGCGTAATGGCAAGCCAACCGTTAGTGATGACTCCCGAGGAGGTCGCTATACAGCGAGCTGCTGATCGCGAGGCACAACTACAACAGGCTTTAGGAGAGATTAAGGCAAAAAAAGAAAGAATGATGAGAAGAAGAGCCAGGTTGCAGTGGAGACAAGCGGACATTAGCGAGTTAGGGGAGATGGACCCAGCAGAGTTGGATGATGAAGTGAGGACCCTGAGGTCGGTCTTGCTAGGTGTAGTAGAGATGCAAGATCACCAAACGGCGATCTTACAAGACATCCAACAGAGTCTGGCCGTGTTGATCGGACGAGCGCAGGCGGCACCATTGTTGTCCAGGCCTGGTGCCTGGCCCGTTGTACATCCTCCTCCTTTTGTCCCACCGGTGACTGGGGTATCCCCACATACCGCTCCAACATCGGTTCAGCCCGTTTCCTTGGGTATGCCTTTAACAGGCAGGTTCTCAACAGGTCCTAGTGTACAGATTCCTGTACAGACAGTGTTCTCCCAACCTCCGTCGCAAGTTGCCGTAAGCGGGCAATCTGTTGTCTCGCAGCCTGCACAGCCACAGGGTACACAGCCCCAGCAGCTAGTGCAGCCGCCTGCACCACAGGGTCCACATCCCGGATTGATGCAAGGACCGGGACAAAGTCAGTTCCAAAGACGGCCATCGCCGCTCCTAAGCCCTTTACAGGGGATAAGAGGGGCGAAAACCTCGACACCTGGTTGAGGGCAGTGCCAGTCTATGTCAAGTGCAAACTTACCTTGCCGCACGAGGAAGTGCTTGTGGCTGCCTCCTATCTAGAGGGGAGTGCAGCAAGATGGTTGAGTGGTTTAGTGCAGCTACAGGGGTACGGTCATGACTTTCACGCTTGGACGGTCACCCAGAAACTGGATGACTTCCTCAAGTTGGTGGAAGACAGGTGGCATGATCCTCGGGAGGCCCAAAAGGCTACTGACGCGATCCTGACACTGCCTACCAGGCAGTTTAAGTCCATAAGAGAGGCCACTGACGCCGTAGAGCGTCTGATCTGTGTCCCTGGGGTGCGCTATGACCCCCAGGTCTTACTCACCTCCTACCTGAGATGCTTTCCCATGCCTCTCAGGAATCAGTTGGCAGGTGAGGCCAACATCAACATGCACAACTTCCCGTCGTTTAGCAAGAAGGCGCTAGACCTTGAAGCAAATATAGGGCATGATCAGACACCCACCACGGATGGTAGGAAAAAGTCACTGCCTCCCAATTGGAAAGCGAAGGAGCGCATCATGTTCGTCGACAACGATGGTTCCACCATCGAATTGGACGACGACTTCCAGTCGAGAGTGGGTTAAGAGGCCGACAACGTAGAAGCTTCAGGGGGTGGAGTAGTCGCTGCCGTAGCTCAAAAAGGTAAGGCGACCGGTAGACGCCGTGGAGGTTCCTGGTCTAGGAGTCAAGTTGACCCCAATGCTCCTCCATGGGAGAAAGCGGGTCACAGTGAGGACGTGTGGAGAGATCGGTACACGCGGCAAGCTTGTATCCGTTGTGGTCAATACGACCATAATCAGTTCAAGTGCCGAAATAAGAAGGTGACTGACACTGCTCCGGGAAACACGTCGGGCCAGTAGGAATGGTAGTTGTTCTTGCTAGGGTCGAGGTGGTGGACACACCCTCACCATCTCGAGAGATGGCCCAAGCTACTGACTCCATAGTCGTCCCGCAAACACATTCAGACCCATCGAGCCTCTGTTCGATGAATGTGTTTGAATCCTTAGAGGAGCTAGAGGAGGAGTGGTTTAGATCAGACCCACTAGCTTCTTGGACGACATTGGCTAAAGCCCCTAAGGGAGATATGTTCGTGGGCGAGGTAGTCATCGGCGGCGGCAAGGCCGGGGCCTATTATGACACTTGCTCGACAAGGAACTTCATCAGTCGCGCGTGCGTTGAGAGGCTGCGCTTACAAGGGCAAGTGCAGCGCCTGAGTCGAACTGTGGAGTCAACCTGTGCCAACAGACAGCGCATGGTAGTTAATGACTACCTCCAGAATGTTGAGTGTTGTTTCCCGTACGTGGGAGGGGAACAGAGACATCATGTTTCGTTCCTAGTGAGCGATGATTTCCTCATGGATATCTTGTTAGGTATGTACTACCTCTCCCTTGCACATCCCCAGTTTGACTGGGACCAAAAAGTAGTCAAACACATTTTGCCAGGTGGAGGGACCGCCAGATTACGTAAGTTCAAAGCTAGTAGTGTGATTGAGTCCTACGGATGCATGTGTGCGGCCGTGTTCTATAATTATTATAAGCAAAATCCGGAGGAGAGTATGTATCTAGTTTATGTCTCTGCAACAGGCGAGCTGGTGAAAATGTTGTTGGAGATAGAGGGAGAAGTTGCCAAGTACCCTGATCTATTTGAAGAGCCGACAGGGGTTGTTGAGAGGGAGGTCGTCAACGCGATAGAAATTATCCCAGGGTCTAGCATCCCAAAGGGTAGGATCTATCGGATGTCTCCAGCCGAGCTTGATGAGCTTCGCCGCCAACTCAAGGAACTCAAAGAGAAGGGTTGGATCCGACCAAGTGTCTCTCCTTATGGTTCTCCAGTCTTATTTGTACGAACGAAGGGAGACACTCTGAGGATATGCATTGACTATAGGGGCCTCAATGCCATCACTATCAAGAACCGAGAGCCCATACCGCGCATTGACGACTTGTTAGATCGAGTGCAAGGGTGCCGGTACTTCAGTAAGACACATCTGAAGTCTGGGTACCATCAGATTGCTATACGGTCTGAGGATCAGCACAAAACCGCATTTCAAACCAGGTACGATCTGTACGAGTTTGTGGTGATGCGTTTCTTGCAATGCTCCTGGCACCTTTCGGCACGCGATGAATCAGATATTTCATGACTACTTGGACAAGTTTATCATCGTGTACCTCGATGACATACTTATCTTTAGTAGGACTGTCGAAGAACACGTACCTTCGACAGCACAAGTTCAAGATCAACAATGAGAAATGCGAGTTTGGCCACACCCATATCTTGTACTTGGGTCATGAGATTTTCGTGGAGGGATTAAAGCCCGATGACGCGAAGGTGGCCACCATTTGTAACTGGCCGCGTCCTCAGTCTGTGACTGAGATGAGGTCTTTCTTAGGGATGACCGCCTACTACCGCAATTTTGTAAAGAACTATAGCATGGTGGCCTCCCCTTTGACTGACCTGACGCGCCTTGACACCCCATGGGAGTGGACAGACAAGTGCGAGGCTGCTTTCAGACATCTGAAGCATGCGTTGACGCACCATGAGGTCTTGAAACTTCCTGATTCTGACAAGCCATTCATAGTAACCACGGATGCCATCCAATATGGCATTGGTGTCGTGCTAGCGCAGCAGGAGGGGCCAAAGTTGAGGCCAGTCGAGTACATGTCCAAAAAGATGCCCTCTCAGAAGTTGGCTAAGTCCACCTATGAGAAGGAGCTCTACGCGATTTACAAGGCACTGACCCATTGGAGACATTATCTCCTTGGGAGGTTCTTCATCGTCAGGACTGATCATCAAACCCTGAAGTGGATGATTACTCAGCCTGTGCTCTCTGATGCCTTGAAGCGCTGGATCGAAGTCATTGAACAGTATGACTTCGAACCTCTGTATCCGAAGGGGGAGTACAACAAAGTTGTTGATGCCTTATCACGTAGGCCTGACTTCTCTGGTGCGTTGATCGCTGAGTTCAGGCTTGTGGACGATGTCACTCGTTCTATGGTGGAAGCCTATCTCGAGGATCCGTTTATGTCTGAGATCATTCGCAGACTCGAGGCGAAGGACAAAGTGACTTTTGCCGAGTTTGAGTTGGTCAACGACTTGCTGTTCCTTGAGAAGGCTGGGAATAAATGTTTGTGTGTGCCTAATAGAGAGTCTTTGCGCAATTTATTTTTAGGAGAGTGTCATGACGCCACCGGCCATTTTGGTTTCAAGAAGACTGCARCCAATTTGTCGCAGTGGTTCTGGTGGCCCACGATGATGAGAGACACGAAGCTATACGTGGAAACTTGTCAAGTCTGTCAGAGGGACAAGCCACGTATAGAGGCTCCTCTTGGGCTTTTGAAGCCCCTTCCGATTCCGGGAAGGCCTCGTGAAAGTCTGTCAATGGACTTCATGGATACGCTGATCACCAGCAAGAGTGGAATGCGCTACGTCTATGTCATTGTGGATAGATTTAGTAAGTACGCTAGGTTAGTTGCAATGCCTGCAACAGCTAAAACTGAGTATGTGATCAAGCTTTTCAAAGAGAACTGGGTCAGAGATTTCGGACCGCCTAAGTCTATAATCAGTGACCGGGATGTGCGATTCACCAGTGAACTGTGGAAAGCTGCAGCTGCAGAACAGGGCACGCAATTGCAAATGACATTAGGCAATCACCCAGAGGCGAATGGGCAGGCAGAGCAGTTGAACCGCGCTGTACAACACCTGCTGAGGCATTACATCAAGCCAAATCAGGTAGACTGGATGAGAAACTTGCCCTTATCGCCAGCCTGTACAACAACGTTGTGCACAACGCTACGGGAGTGAGCCTGAACAACCTGCTACTGACTTTCAAGCCTAGACTGCCTTTGGACTTCCTACTACATGAGAATCAACCAACCGCTGCACCAGGGACCTTGGAGTTTGCTTATCGGTATGAGCACCTGATGCAACAGGCCGTTGAGCAAATGCATAAAGCCCAGGCGGCGATGATAGAATCAGAGAACAAACACCGTCGCCCATCTACATTCCAGGTAGGAGAAAGAGTCTGGGTTAAGTCCTCAGAACTGGGACAGGAGCACGGGATCTCCCGCAAGCTCATGCCACAGTACTTTGGACCATGGGAGGTTCTAGATGTCGTTGGGGACGAACCGGATGGTCCTTCTTATGTTATTTGCATCCCTGGTCACTTACGCACTTACCCTGTTTTCCACGCCTCCAAGCTTGCACCTTTTGAAGAAACAGATCAGTTTCCCTCTCGTCGCTCGATGCTGCCCCCAACCATGGATGGAGGTCGACATCGATGACATTGTTGATCATCGGGAAATGCCAGTTCCAAGACCGACAGGCAGGGGACGTCCTCTGAAACCAAAGCTGGAGTACAGGGTTCGGTTCATACATCACACTGATGCAAAGGAGGACCGATGGTTTACCAGGGAGGAACTGATGCAGACCGCTCCTCAGGTTGTAGCCCAATATGAAAAGTCTCTGCAGAAGGGAAAACGCCAGATTATCGAAGACTGAACTTCTCAGAGGACTAGTGAAGTATGGAGGAGGGAATGCGAGGCACAAGGCCTCACTAAGCCCTACCGGGCCCCTATTTGCAACAGGTCCGCCGCCCTAAGTGAAGGCAGGCTCGACAGACGACAAGAGGCCTATTTTGAACTACTTCGCAACTAGGGTAAAAATTCAGGCAGTTGCGCAGCGCCAGTTGGTTGAAGGCGCCCAGGCCCTGGCCTCCTTTAACAAATGTATCTAAGTCAGGCCCTGGGCGAGATACGCAGCATGGACCCAACTCAGACTGTGGGCAGTTGGGCACGGTTAACTGTCGGTGGCCCTGGGCCTGATTCGTTTGGACTGAGGCTCAGCCTCCCTGGGCCTACCGGAAGCTTCTAGGTCGGGGCCCAGTACCGCAGCACAGCACGCAGCAGCAGGCCACTTCGATATAGGGAAGGGCCTGCCCACGCACTGGACATTCGGGCACTGGCTGCATTGTGCACAAGCGCTGCTGCGCTATCACTGGCCAGCGCTCACGTGCTCATGGGCGAGCTGGAAGGAGCAGGCAGCCATAGCCGAGCTGCGCTGCTGTGTGCTGGATGGGGCGCATGGTGGTCCTTGGGTGCAAGTGGCATCTGTGAGTTGGGGAACGAGGTTGTGAGTGATATGAGAGACATACCTGGTGCTTGATGCGTGCGGCATTGGCTGAGATCTGCTCGTACTTGGGAAGCTGTAGACGTCATCAGCGGCATTGTAGTCTAGGCTAGATAGGATCTGTCATTTGTAATCTGGGCGCCGAGCGCCAGATAGGATATCAACATTGGTTCTTTTATTTTTTATTTTTTATTTTTTATTTTTTTTTATATTTTTTTTACAAGAAAACAGGGCCTTATGGTCCCGGCTCCTTTCCATTCTGGGGAGCAGCAGTCTGGTTCCTATTCCACCGGCAAGTCAGAATAAAAGTTACATCATAGAACCCACACGCTTCCTCCCGTCTGGCCGGAGGACCCCTGAGCATCATTGATTACTCCAGCCTTCTGGAGGATTGACTGCCAGCTTGCCATGTTTCGCTCTATTCCTCTCAGATCTGTCCCCTAGATCTGCCAGATAAAACCATGCCCGCAAGAAAGAGCTTACCTTCAAGATCTGGATAATCCTTGAGCTTCGAGACTTCAACCTTACCCATGTGTCCCGTCTCCCCCTATTCCTCCTTCTCTCATTATCAAAGCACCTTCAAAATCCTAAGCCCTAAACCCTCGCCTTGAAATATTTTTTATGAGGCTAACGG